CTACCTGCCTCCCTACCTACCTACCTTCCCGTGTACGTCCGTACATACATAATACATATATGGCTTCATACATGCTAATCTGTTTTGATAATGTTTAATTCTTGTTGGTATGTAGAACATACATACGTGTCATCTGTATGTGCAAGACTTATCTGTATGTATACTACATACATACATAGATGCATACATACATACAAACATACATACATGCATGCATGCATGCATGCATGCATGCATGCATGCATGCATACATGCATACATGCATACATGCATACATGCATACATGTATACATGTATACATGCATACATGCATACATGCACACACACACACACACACATATATATATATATATATAGACTCTCTTAAGTCGTAAAGCGGTCGATCCAAACCTCCCCCCTGCATAGACGGCCCTGGAGCAGCTGGGCGGCGTCTCCGGGAACCGGAAGTCGAGCTCGGAGGCCGTTTAGGGTTTAGGCTTTCTGCGAGAGGCACTTCAGAGAGACCTCGTTCAAAAAAGGGTTTAGCAAAAAGGGTTTAGGGTTTCGCGAAGCCGGGTTTGGGGATGGGTGTTTGTAGAGTTCAGGATCTTTGTGTTTAGGGTTTTTGTGTAGGTATCGCCACGTGCCACCATCAACATAATCAGCTGGCCCCCCCGGCCCAACCGTAAGCCCTAAAGACAAAAGTCCCCAACGCCAAGCCTCATAGTCCTCCCTACTGCATGAAATCAGAGTAATAAGTTAGCATACACCCCTCTGACGTCCTGGCAAATCCTATGTCAGCCCTACTTGTTTGCTCACCTTATACAGCCCTTCCAGAGCACCTTCCCCTAAACCCCAAATGCAACAATTCTCGTGATCTTTCGACTGTTCACTCGGAGTTACCCTGCAGTGAGGGCTCGTCTTTGCTTAGTATCGGAGGCGAAAAAAATTCTGAAGCGTACCGTATTACTATTTTTACCATTATTACCATTGTTACCATTATTACCATTATTACTATTATTATTATTACAATTACTATTATTACTAGATCTTAGAACTGCCATTATTACCATTATTACTATACCCTAAACCCTAAACCCTAAAGCCTATTATTACGCCGGAAGGCGAGTGGCAACCTCTACGAGGCTGCCCGAGCGGCGGCTGAGGCCCTTAGCAGCGAGGAGCCGGCGATTCGCCAGGGAGCTCAGCGGCGCCCCGGGCTGGAGAATAATACTATAATATATACACACATACATACATACATACATACATACATACATACATACATACATACATACATATATATATATAATATACTATAATATATACTATAATATATACGATTTCTTTCGGGTTTAGGGTAGGGGTTTAGGGATTTAGGGGTCCTGGGTGCCAGAAGGGGTTTAGGGGTTTAGGGTTTAGGGTTTCTTTGCAGGTAGGCTTTTTGGGGGATGGTCCTTGGACGGGCTGTTTTCCAACTGTACGGGCGGAAGAGTTGTTTGGGGGGGAGGGGGTGGACGGGTTTTATGCCTTATCCCCCGAGCCTGTTTTGATTTAGGGCTCGCGGAACATTGCTCTGTCAAGTTCTGGCTTTGCTGGTTTGTTGCCGTGACGAAAAATTAACAACATTCAAGGCCCAGCGCACGTTGGCGTGGGTACCTAGAAGTTCATCCCGGCAGATATATGCAGGGTTCGAGCCTGCCTTGTGGAAGGCTGTGAATCCAAGAATTAGAAAAAGCTACCTTTTGTATTATTGGATGGCATCGGGCCGTCTTGGACGCTGTGACCCAGCACAATTCACTTATGACATAACTGGCCCTTGAACGTTCCAAGGTAGGTCAAAACCCAACCATCAAATCGAGATTTAATTTTATTTCACTTCTGGATTCTTTGGTTTTCTTGTAGTATGTAGCTCCCTGTGTCTCCAGTGGAACGTGCTTTGATGTAAGCCTTGAGCCCCAATAATGCAAGCTAATTTGAAAGCACGTGTTGGCGACATGTAAGCTTCTAGGATTCTGGACCATGTATAGGTTTCACATGAAACCATTGATCATGAACATAGTTCCAGGCATATAGAGTCATGCCGCGACCTTGGCATCCGCGAGTCCAACACGTACAGAAGATAACTTACAGAAGAAACGACCACCCTAAACCCTATACCCTAAACTCTAAACCCTCGACAATTTTTGCGGGTGGGAAAATCCCTCAACAACTTGGCAGCCCAAAGCTGCAAGGATCCTGGTGAATCTCGCCGGGGAGGGGCCCACGCAGAGATACGCAGCTGCAGCTTTTGCGGTGAGTGGCCTGAAGAGTGAGGTGGCTTCGCTTGGGGCGTGTGCAGCGGGCTTCTCGTAAGCGTTTCTGGATGCCATAGTATAGTCCCCAGCATGCCGTAATTATAGAGCTTGACCATCATGACTCTCCAAAACCGAACGTTACCGGACAGGTGGTATTAGGCTTTGGAGTTAAGCCAAACATGTAAAGCAAATCATGAACTCCTTACGAAGGGATCCTTGAACAGCTAGCTAGAGTTAATGTACATGTTCAGATTATTGCCGTATTGCCCCAAGAGCCGTGAAGGGACCACAATTGATTTGGAGCCCCGTCCTCTCAGCTCAAGCCAAGACAACCCTGACAGAATCCCGACGTGCTGGCCGATGCTGCAGACACCTTTGTGCGTCTGGGTGCAGAAGGGGATCCCGATGTGCTGGAATCGGCCACTGAGCAGCACCCGAGGCTGCCAGCGAGATGTCAAGTTTCGGGCACCTTGAGCGATGTATGGCGAGTGCAGGTGGTGAAATGAATCAGCACAGCTTTCCAGTTTGTTGCTGGTGGCTGTGTGGGAGAGGTTCTGCACTGTCTTACACCGTATGCTTGAAAGCCCGACAGATGGTCTGGTAACCCCCCTTCCACGCACCTCAAGCTTTAGACTCGAGGCCCAACTGCGCCTTTTGTTCCCAGGTTGGTGCCACACTGACTTCTGGTTCCACGCAATCGAAAGAAGTGGCTTGACCAAAGAGAGAAGGCCTTTGCTTGGCACCTTCGGGGTTCAGATGATCGGGACATCAGGACCTCCGTCCGGGCTTAGAAACCAAGAAGCAGTGACAGAGAGACCGAGATGGCGTGAAAAAGACAGCGATATATCACATTTTTATCATGCAACCCCAGAAGACAGTGCCACCGGCCCTTTGTTACTTCACGCAAGTATGCTGGTGACCGCGCTCATGCTGCTATCCCAAAGCTTAAGCAATTTGAGGTGGCACTGAAGATACTCGCGGCCCTCTCACCGCCTGGGTCGCTCAGCGATGCTGTGCCGCTTGGATGTATTGTGGAGCCCGGAACAGAAGCACCTCGGATCATGCACGGAGGTGTCGCCTTAGATCGTAATTAGGGACTCACAGGGCATGGAGAGGTATGTCTGTCGTTGAGGGTGGAGGGACCCGCATGAGAGCGCGGATTGATACACAGACCTGCTTGTGCGGGTCTACTCTACCGCTTTGTTTCGGGATGCAGGGCTTTTTCTCCCACAGGCGGCTTTGCCCTGCATCTGCCAAACTGCTTCTCCCAGCGGCGGGATTCAGAGATCTCGGAGCTCGTATACAGTGGCGGGTCTATTCTGCTCGGATCCGCGTGCTCGACTTTCGCAGTCTAGCCTACTTTCCATTACCATGGCCAAAGCTCTACAACCTCCCTTGCAGCCCTGGCGAAAAGGGGAAGTTCATGAGATAGAATGTCTGTCCTCGATGCAACTGCTAGGATATCTCAGGGTTACAGACCCTCGAGGCTTCCGAGTTTCGTTTCCGGGTATAGCACGGCATAACATAGTATCTAGTATGGTTTATAGTGTAGTAGATAGTAAAGTACATGGTGTAGTATATAGTGTAGTATATAGTATAGTATTTTAGTGTATATTATAGTATATTATAGTCTATATTCTACTACATATTACAGTATATATTATAGTACATACTATAGTATATATTAGAGTATATAGTATAGTAACCTCCCCTAAAGCCCCAAGAGAGCTAAGCTCTAACCGCTTGCCTTTGCAACGCGAAACCCGAAACCCTAAACCCTAAATCCTAAACCCTAAACCCTAAACCCTAAAACCTTACACCCTAAACCCTAAACCCTAAACCCTTAAACCCTGAATCCTAAACCCTAAACCCTAAACCCTAAACCCTAAACTCTTTGAAGCCTCGTTCGGTTTCCTTGGCCGAGGTCGGTTGAGCAAGGCGAGGAGGGAGGCTTGCGCCTGAGGTGGCCCTGCCTGAAGACCGCTGAGGGTCCAATATATATATATATAAACTAAAAAGATATGATACAATATAGTCTAATAATATATACATATATATATATAGTATGTACATAGTTTCATATAACACAATAAATAAATAAATATGTATATATATATATATTTATAAAGTATAGTATGTTATTTAGTTTCACATTATATTATGTATATATATATATATAGCATTCAGCAGGGCTGTTTGGGCTTGATGTGTTTTGACGATTGCTGAGGCAGAGGAAGGAAGGAGGTCCGAGGGCTCTGGTAAAATTTTCGGTGGGAGAATGTGCACACCTCCTCGAGGTTCTGTACCGAATTTCGTGTTTCGATTATGGCCTGCCAGCTTCCGGAGAAGTCCTTGATATCTAGGGCTTGGCTTAGGGTACTCGCTGCACTGCTGAGGCGTGCGGGTGGCCGTCAGGTCTTTCTTTAGTAGTAATGAGCTTGTTGAATCTCGTCTCCGAGATTTTGTTGTCATGGCCACAACAGCTTCGACAAGAACTCTCGAAGAAACGTTCCGAACCAAAACAGCTCGTATCCACATCATCTGGACCTGTGCGCAAGTTGATGGAGTCGTTGCCCCAACAATCAAGGGCAACACGGTCAAGTCTGCAGTACTACAGTATAGAATCGTATCGTATAGTTATAGTATAGCATAGAATAGTATAGTATATAGCACTCCAGAAGCGCCTAGCCTCACCTCCCCGCTGGCAGGCAGAGGGTGGCCAGGTGTCTCTGTGACAAGGCACCACGAGTAGAAATGGCAGAAAAGTCGGATCTCTTCAATCTTTTGGGTCTTCTAGGTTCAGTTTCTTTTGCTGAAGAGATTGCTGATGAGGGTTTCGGGTTTGTGGATGTGTTTACCATTGACGGGTCAGTGATGGGTTTTGAGAGCTCGGGCATGCTGGGCAGGGCCAGGCAAGGATGGCTTATCTTTTCTTCCCCTTGTCGCCGTGATCGGTAATTCTCAGGACGACGATTGTTTTCATTCCATCGTCATTGCAAGCGGCAAGCACAAACGGATAAGCCGATAAGCCCATGTGGAAGTCGATCGAAGCATGTCGCCACACATGTAGAGCTTCGGTGTCAGGCTGGGTATTGACTGAATGATGCTGAGGCACAAGACGTGCGCCTGGCAGCGATTCCAGCCTTTGCGCGACTCCTGCGTGCCGCAGACCAGGCGACCGTGTCTCAGGCGGGAGTGGCGAGTCGGGAAGCCGCAAGCCCACTCAGCAATACTGTTACCTCTGAGAAGCAAAGATGGTATATATTATGGTATATATTATAGTATTTGGTAAATATAGTATAGTATATATTAGAGTATATGGTGATGGTGAAGGAGAGGCCGGTGATGGTTGCCGATGCTGCCACTACAGTACTGCTGCTGAGATTCATGACATGATGATGGCGACTGGCGACGATGATGATGCTGATGGATGACTGTAGCTGCTGCCACCACGAGCGTATGACCGCGGCCTCTTGTGCTCGCCTGCATGTTACTACTCTCTCTCTCTCTATATATATATATATATATATCGATATCCTGCTATCGTTGTCGCTGTCTTCTGCGAGTGGTCAGGGGTTGCTCTTGGTTGTCGCCGTTGTCCTGTTTGCTTTCAGAGGGATGTCCAAACTTCGTGCGAATCGCGGAGAGTGGGAAAGTCTACTGTTCCTTCGAGTTTCGCTCTTCTGGCTCTTTTTCACGCATCCGTTGAGCTGTTAGGAGTAGGTGTATGTAGGTTTCAGGGGTTAGCAGCTTCCAGCGCAGGTCGCCTTGAACCTTCCGTCGCTGCAGAGCGAAGTGCGGCGGGACTGCTTGGAAGCTTTAGACTCTCGGATTCCATCCTAATTGGGTTGGTCAAGCTTGAAGCCAAGCCACTTTGCGCCTCGACCCCAAAATTTAGAACGGCTCGGTGGGAGAAAACGGCTCAACTCCAACACCCCTTCTCAGGGCAAGAACCGTCAGGCCCTGAACTGAGATATTGGCTCGAGCCGTCAGGGCTCAAGCACGTTGGAATGGCCCCGAGCCATCGGAATGCAGTGACCTCCTCCGCTCTCCGCGCCATGGATGATAAGATTACCGTCATCCTCACTGGGCTCTCAGGCGCTTCCCTGGAGGTCCGAGCTCGCCGGGACGATTCCATGTTGATGGTGCGGCAAGAGGCTAGCCACGCACTGGGCGTTAGTGCTTGGCAGCTGAAGCTTCTGCAGCTGAATGGCGAGCCAATAGCCCCTTTGGGTATTCTTGGCGACCTGGTGCCCGTTGAGGAGGACGTCTTGGATCTGACGGCTGTCGCCATGCGGACCCGCCCCGATGTGCTGCAGAACAGTAAGTAAAGCACTCGCCAAGGCCTTGAAAAGCAGGTATTTCATACCTTATCTCCTGTACATGCACCGGGAGAACATCCTCCAGGGTGACATCGATTTCAACTACTCTGGCGACAACCTCCTTGAGCGGGCGGTGACGAAAGTGCCACCTTCGGATGTTGAAGAGTTCGCATCTCTGCTCATGAACGGAGGTGCCGATGTCAACCTTCCCTCAAGAGACGGCTACACTCCACTCCTCTCTGCTTGCAGCCGTGGCCTCTCAACGGTGGCCGAGATCCTCCTGCGGCGCGGCGCTCGCAACGAAGCTGGTCCGAGAGGCAGCACGGCTTTGGCGGAAGCTTTGGCTTTCTTCCAAGCCTGCGTGGAGCAACGTGCAATCGAGCGTGGGGAGGACCTGGACCTGGGTCGTCTTTGCTGCAGCCTGAGAAGTGACGGCATCGAGATGGCACGACGTCGTGGGCTTCCGGAGCTCACTTTAGCGCGGCTCCGCCTTTCCGAAGCCGCGACGGAAAAGGCCTTGCTCGGGAGTGCAGGTGTTGCACTCAGACAGGAGGAGATCTTAGCCAAGAGCGGCTTGGACAAGAGCTTCGCCGAAAGCCTTGGCCCGGAGCTCTGGGCTGGTTGGCCGTTGGCTTTCCTGACCTTCGACCTCGACATCAAAACCAGGGGTGCGAAGGTCACCAAGGATTTCGCGAACGCTCGGTCCCGCATTCTGTGCTTCAAGCTGGGCCAGGAGAACAAGAAGCCCGACCCGCACATCTGCTCCGGCGCATGCTTCGACTTCGACGTCTGCGACCTCTCAAGCTGTCATCCCTACATCGATATGGTGGATATCAAGACTCGGAATCGGAAGTGGGACGGACCGATTTGCGAAGGCAGGCGCTTCCGGCGCGTCCCGGTGGCTTCCGGTATCCGTGGCCACTCCTACTCGGCAAGGATGGCGCGCCGGATGCCTTCGGCTTACAGGGGGCACCATGTGGCAGAGACCCTGCGGGGAGGACGCCCAAAGCTCCGGAAGTTTCAGCTTGTTCAGGAGCAGCTTCGAATGGAGACATGTGCGCTGTGAGGGGCACAAGGCTTTCAGCCGTACTGCTGTCCTGGCAATGTTCTGTGGGGTTCTTTACTTCTTCTCTCTTACAGGAGGCGATCTATGTTGTGTAACTATAGAGTTAGAATAGTTAGGAGCTCCATTGCTTTGACTTGAAGCACGAGAAAGAGCTTTGCCCCGCACTGATCTAGCTTATCCTACATGCTGCAATTGTAGAGAGGATCTTGCTTTGTACAGTGTACAGACGGGTTGCAGAAGCAAAATATTCGTCGCTGGGTTCGGCTTGGGCTTGCGGTGGTATAGTGGGTTGCTCTGGCAGTTGACCAGGCATTTGTTGAACCGAAGCTTGTCGTAAAGCCTTGCCTTCCTTGGAGCGGGTGGGAGAGCAAGAACCCGGCGAATCCCTGAGACTACCGTTGCACATAGGTAGTTCTCTAAATTAGGGCCCCTTTTTGGGTCCCCAATATAGTACGGCACCCTTATAAAAAGGACCCCAAATGGGACCCTAATTTAGAGAACTACCCACATACTGAAACCCAAGCTACAGGGGAGTTTCCCAAAACAAGGGGTACCTTATTTTGGGGTCCTTATAATAGGGATCCTACTATTTAGGGTGCTATATAAGGGCCCCTTATTTTCGGAAAACCCCATATACTGAAACCCAAGCTGCAAGGCTCTGATCTGGTCTTCGCCCGGAAGCGCCTCAGGCCCAGAAGAGGCAGGGAGACGGTGGGGATTTGCTATCGGGAGAATGGAACTTTGGCTCTGCCCTGGGTTTCGAATGGGTTTAGGGTTTAGGGTTTTGGGTTTTGGGTTTAGGGTTTAGGGTGTAGGGTTTAGGGTTTCGAATCCATTAGGACGGATCGGCCTTGAGGGATAGATGATAGCATCTGGGCCCAACGCTGGAGTTTCTCAACGCGTGCTGGTTCAAGGGCCACGAAGACACTCGTGCCAGCGCGTATTCGACTTCGATGGGGATCCCTTTCCGCCAACATGTGAACTTCTAAGTCTAAGTGTTCTTGCACCAAAGACCACAAACCCCAAAGCCAACAGGCACCGTTTGCGCTAAGTTTTCTTCCAGGGGCCTTAGTTTGCTTGTGTCTTCACCCCAGCTACAAACTCTTGCATCTGCCCTTCCTCGGGTGTCCGAGTACGAGATCCGAAGCCACGCATTATTCTGCCGACGCTGACTGGGACCGGAAGCCCCATCGATTTCTCAAAGCAGTGAGAGTCGAGACCCGAACCTGTAGAGAGTTGCAGAGAAGACCGAGCTGCCATGAACAAAGGCCTCGGCCGTCGCCTGCTGCCTTGAAGATCGAAGCTTGGAGGCCAGGCTTCTGACCTTGCTGGGTCAGAAAAGGAAGCGTAGGTAACCCATCAACGTCACCATCACCATCTTTCCAACTGAACACAGGGATGTCCGATGGTCGTGCTCACTTGTGCCTTCTGGCTAGAGGTTGGTTCTGCTCGACGCATGAGCAGACCGTTTTCGGTACCGTAAACCCATGAGACCTTTGCCGCGCATCCTGAATTCACGTTGCTTGCCATGGTGCAACAATCCCTAGGCTGAGGACCGCACAACCTTCCGCTCACCAGACTTAGAAAGGTTTTGGGAGGGTCTTGCGTGTCCAGGTGCGGCGATTGGCGATCACCCTGCTCAAGACCTGCCAGGCGCGCGGCAACGAGGCGCAGGGCATGGCAAAAAAATGATGAGCTCATCTTGGTTGCAACTGCAATGTCTTTCTGAGCCCCAGTATCCTCTTGGGCAGGATGCCGTCCTCGCCGTGGCATCTCGCCTCAGGTCACCGGG